AAATTGTATTTCTTTAATAGAAAAAATTTAGCTTTCATAATTTGATCACTTTCTACTAGTATGAATTTAATTTCCTTAGCAATATCATTCATATAGGCCACACTATTTTTCACCTGAAGACACGCAGTTATTTTCAAATGTACGAGCATGCATCTCTCAGGTAAGCCGCACAGACAGTAAGAGTCTGTGGGCTATGATTACACTGCAAGGTGGTAAATGTCAATTACGTTTAGATCGGTATTGTACTCATTTAATTACTGGAAAAGCTGCTGGATTAAAGTATGAAACTGCAATGAGGCATCCTATTCAAATCATAACACCAGATTGGGTAACAGAATGTTGTAGAAAAGGAACTATTATAAGTGAGGTAGAATACCACCCAAGACTTTTAATATATCCAAATAGTTCTACAGCCATGATTACTGGTTTTATGGATGAAGATACAGAAAATAATACTGCACAAGAAGAACAAGACAGAACCAAAGCTATGTTGGAGCAACTTAAGCAGAGAATGCCTTGGAATCAGCCAAGTCCACCAGTGTCTTCTAATGCATCACATAATATCAATACTGCTAATGCAACTGTGGCTGCAATTCCTTATACAGCAAATGGGCAGAATAATGTTAATGTTCAACAGCAGCAACCACAGCATCTTCCACGACCAATTGCTACCACAAGTTTATCTAATGCTTCCACAATCGCGCCTTCTGTATCAGATCAAAATGTTACTCAAACCAATTGGTTACCACAAGGTTCACAACAAAATAATGTTGCTCCAATAAAATCGGTACCACCGCAAATACAGCAACCAGAATTATCTCCCCAACAACAGCAACAACAAATGAACATGCAACATTCGTTACTACAACAGCAGCAACAGTTAAATCAACAACAACAGCAGCAACTGTCTCAACAACTCACCCAACATCAACAATTACAACAACAACAGTATACACAACAACAGCTTTTGAGTCAGCAACAGTCTCCACAATTAACACCTCAACAACAACTAATAGGAACACCGCAACAACCGCTTACTCAGCCAGCGTTAATACCGCAGCAACAACCACAGCAAATAAATTCACAGCTACCTCAGCATCAGATATCTTCACCACAACAGTTACTAACACAACAACAAAAACAGCTGAACCAACATCAAATACTATCTCAACAACAAATGAATCAGCAACAGCAACATTTACCGCAACAACAGCAAATTGCTCCCCAACAACAATTGGTCCAGCAGCAGCAAGTGCAATTAACACCCCAACAACAAATAGTCCTGCAACAACAGCAGCAGCAAATCCCTCCTCCTCAACCACAACCACAAATTGGAACACAGCCGCATCAATTAAATCCGCAACAAGCTCCACCGCAGCAACTCACGTCCGAGCAGCGGCAGCTTATATTATTGCAGCAGCAGCAGCAGCAGCAGCAACAAAAAATTCAACAAATATCTCAACAATTACAACAATCTGCGCCTCAAGGTTCGCAGCAATTCGTTATAAGAGACGGTCAATTACAACAGCAACCTCAGAATCAGCAGCTAATGGGTCCCAATCAACAAGGCTTTATTGTACAAAGAGATTCCCAATGGCAGCAACAGCAATATCATTTACAATTACAAAGACAACAGCAACAGCAAATTGGTGCTCCAAGACCAAGCGGCCAGTGGACTCAACAGCCACCGCAACCACCGAGGCAATTAATCCAATTAGATGCCCAAACGCATCAGCAATTACAACAAATGGATCCTCAACAAAGAGCCCAGTTCATCCAGAAGATCCAGAAGCAAAGAAATCTGCTGTTACAGAGGCAAATGCAGAATCGTCAAGCTCAGCAGGGGGCACATATCGCAGTCATAAGGAGTCCAGGGAATCCAGTGCAACCTGGTGGTTTGCAATGGGTTCAACAGCCGCGTCCTCAGATGATAGGACCCCAAATTGCCCAAACACCTGGCCAGAAACCGGTTCACCCTGGGGTACAACCGCCAGCTCTAACACCTATTAACTCTCCCAATCAGGTGATAGTGCAAACGGGACAAAGTGTTCAAGGTCCACAAACAGGTCAACCTAGCCAGGCGTTCCCACCGGGCCAACCTTTGACTCCTCAACATATAGCGCAATTACACATACAGAAACAGCAGCAAATGGCTAGGTTGCAACAATTACAGCACCTACAGCAGCAACAGCAGCAGCAGCAACAACAGCAACAACAACAACAACAACAGCAGCAGCAGCAACAGGGTACGCAACAGGAGCCTCCGCTGACCTCGTTGTCGAATAACGCTCAAATACCACCGGATCAACAGTTGGTGGTGAATGCAAAAACGAAAACTGCCCTAGCCAACATGTTGACCAATAGATTGCAAGGTAGCGCTGCCGAGGGTAGTGCGGCTGGTCAATTGAGACTAATGACCGCCCAACATAGACCACCGCCACCGCCGTCTCAGGATCCGCAGCTTCTCGCTGCATATCAGCGGAGAACCGTTGGGAACATCACGAATGGAGCACCACCCGGTGCTCCCATAAAGATGCAATACGCTCCAGTGATGCCTCAAGCTAAAGCTCAGTTCTATGGTCACAATCCAAACCTGAAACGTACGGACTGTCTCTCATTTTCTTAATAGCTCTCGATTTAGGTTCTATCACTTATTCACGTGTTCGTGCTTTGTGCTTCAGTTGAAGGTTGTTTCAGGTAGATTTAAACTTGAAGTTTCAGTAAGAATTCCTTACATTGAAATTACATTGATACATATGAATAATACTTAGGATTTTATACTTTAAACGTTACATGTTACATTTTTTAAATGAGCTTAATTTCTTTCTACAAACGTTGGAACTCACTTAGTCAGACCTCAACTTCTTCAAAGCACATCACATAGATCTTCAAGTATGAATAATCCTTCACAGTGCCCGTTTATTGTGTCCACCTATAACAATGGGAATACCAGTCGAAAATACGTGAACATAATGAATGAGCAATTTCTAATGCTATTCTTCTTGCATTCTTCAGCTATTCTTCTTCTTCCTTTCGCAAATAACATGGCGTTATTTGTGTTTCCAGTGCCGCCAGATCTATTTTTGCTAGGTTGTATCTTTGTAATTGTCGAGTACGACGTGCAACGTCCGAACGATGTTTCCATATGGAAACAGGTGATCGAGAGACACGGCGGAGAGGTGGAACCGCAATATTGCACCCGGGCCACCCACGTACTAGCGATCACGCAGAAACATCCGACGGTAGTGCAGGCGCTACGCGAAGGGAAACGTTGCGTCAGTGCCCACTGGCTGTCAGATGTAGTCAGTAAACAGCAGGTGCTACCACCATGGCACGCGCTACATTTTCCAACGCCGTTCAGCTTGACAGAGCTTCCATGCGCAAAACAAATTGTATCGTTGTCTGGATTTGAAGGAGAGGAACGCGCGAAAGTGAAGTATATGCTGGAAGCATTAGGAGCTAAAGTTACCAATTACTTCACCAGGCACAACACCCTCCTCGTTTGCAGAAGGTAGAGATGTTAGTTACTTTATCGCACTTGCCCTGAATTATCGATTCACAATTGATAATTGAATTATCTAATGTGTGGAGGGTATCATAAAATATTGGTTGGTAGAGAAGAATTACTAGAATACTAGAACAGCATATTGTTCAACGTGTTCTTATCCGGTTACTTAGTTTTAACTTTGTTCCTTGGTGAGTTTTTAAATAAAATTAAAGAATGAAAGAGTAATGTAGATTTGAGAGTGAATTTGGGTAATAAAAGTGTGGTGGAAGATTTCATGTCCATGTTTGTCTCATCTAGCTGTTTTTGAGGTGTTACAATATGTTTGTTAAAGATTCTTATTTTCATTTTCAAATTTTTAATTAGTTTGTATAAGAAATGTACATCAAATTCTTGAAGAAAATTACACAGTGACAGTATTAAATGGAATATAGATGTATGCAAATCTTTTCTACACTCTTTACACGTCCAATTCATCTTACTCTCGTTAAAATGGGACGCACAAGTAGACGAAGTATAGCCACATTTTATGGTACCACACGTAGCGATCGATCATTCACTACTATCGGCATCCTTTCATTCGACGAAAAACCATTTCAGACCGGACGGTCAAAAGTATAAGAAGGCTCGAGAATGGCAGACCGGAGTGGTAAATGCTCAATGGTTGACGGACTTATTATGCGGGCAAATGAACGCGCTCCATCAAACTGAAAATCCGAAATATCAACAGTACAGCCTGAGCAATCCCTTCAGATTGGATTATTCGCTAGTGCCTCATTTAATGGGTATCTTGGACTTTGGTCAATTAATATAAAAAAAAAAAGAGAGAGAGATAAATCACGATTTATTTTACTCTTCCTTTGAATTGAATCATTCGACAGGTATTAAAATAGCATTTTTTTCAGCTGCGTGGAAGATGCCAATAAACATTACTCAGGAGTCTTACGACAAAGTGAAACAGGTTGGTCAGGGTCCAAATTCGATAAGAAAGTATAAGAAGCCGCGATTAGACGGGCCGTTATTGAATAAAGATCCACATTTGTTGGGCTTGGACGAGCCGATAGTCGTTAGTAATCCCGACCCTCCGCCCCCAGATAAACAACCGAGAATATTGTTCTCCGGTATTAATCCTAGGAAACATGCAAAGGTAACGCATACGGTGAAACTCGCTGATACAGTAAAATCTCTGAACTGAAAATTGTTGGTTTAGCTGAGCTGTGAATGAGGTTTCAGGATACAGTATGTTTAGTTTGCAATTGTTTCTCAAATTATTGAAAATGGAAGAAAGTTATTTGATTTGGAGAAAGGATTATTTATAGTAAATTTGGATTACTTGGAAAGATATTCTTTGGGAAAATTTTCATAACAATCAAACCCAAAATGTTATAATGAAATGTTATTTTTATGATGTATGATTTTTATTAAATATTGAAATATAAATACTTTTTGTTGTTTAATTTGTAAATATGGAAATTTTACTGTACGATTCATACAACATTATAATGAAGATAATCTCATTATTGCTACTTAATTTACTAACTTGAATTAATCCCTCAACAGAGAATTCGGGAATTAGGTGGTGCGTTGGCAGCAAGTTGGCGAGACGCGACTCATCTCGTGATGTCAGCACCGATAAGAACTGTAAAATTGTTATGTTGCCTGTCGCGTTGTAAATATATTGTCACCTTACAGTGGTTACTTGACTGTTCCGCAAGGAACACGTTTTTAGATGAAAGTGGATACGTGCTTGGTGATCCAGAGTTCGAGAAGAATTTTAACTGTAATATTGAAAAGGCTCTAGCAAGCCCTAATCGGGGAACAGTACTTAAGGTGATTTTTTTAAATTAACAATTAAATTATAATAGATAATAGATCATTTTTAAGTGACAATTAACAAAAGGTTACACATGATGATAAAAAAATAATATAAAATGTGAAATGCATAATAATATTTTGTTTGAAAATTTTCTCTGTCGAACAGGGTAAAATATTTTATGTTACACCAAGTGTAATACCGTCGCCGCCAGCGATCGCAGAAATAATCGAAAGCGCGGGTGGAGCGATGGAGAAAACACGAAGATCTCTGGCGCAGATCCAAGAAATGAATAGTAATAAATTAACTTATATCATTGTCACTCATGAAAACGATCTTCATCTTCTTTCCGACGTGTTACGTGCAAATATCAGTAAGTGGTACTCTGCAGTGTCCTGATATTAACACCTTTAAATATTACAACTTCTAAGAGATGAGCATAATGAAAAATTCCATATTCATATATGTTTGAAATATTTATAGGTGTGTTCTGTGCAGAAATCGTATTAGGAGCAGTTGCACGACAATACTTCCAAGCTGAACAAGTCTAAAATACAGCGCAGTTTTCAATATACTGCATTTTAATCCCTGATGTGGGCTTACTAAATTCTTAGTGAGCTATTTTGGAGATGAAAATTTTTGCTTACCTTCTTCAATGGGACAATAAAGAACATAATTTTATGATACAGGAGGAACTATTTTCACTGAAAAACATTCCAAAAAAACCTCTCCTTTCATGCTTCTTTTTTGAAAGCAATATATATTTTATATAGCATACTTCTCGAGATATAAATCATTTGATAGACTTGTTTATTTGACGTAGAAACATATTGTTATATATATATATCGTTCATTCACGATTAAGAAGTATTGTTTTAATTAGAATTTTGTAGTTATTTTTATCACGACACTTTCACTCTCTTTCTCTCTATCTGTCTCTCTTCTACGCGCGTAAAGTACTCATCTTTTGTCGCATATACAATATACACATATCATTCTAGTTTCTATCGTTGTACACTTATTTTCTTCCATTCTATATGTTTCGCTTACCAACTGTCTTTATACCATAAGAAACTGATTTATGTGTAAGAGTGTATAATTGAAAATAAATAGAAATATGCATCATTGTGTTCTAATTGTGTTACTGATCGCGATATTATTATTCTCAATTTCGTTAAGATCACTCGGAAAGGATCTTACTTTCTGCACTACACAGTATAAATATAATTTATTCATACTCGACAGGATCAATTGTGCTGTACAATAAATCGAGGCTAACATCGTAAGAAAAGTACAAAAGTTTATTATAATGGAATGATTTTCGATGTATCTTAAACTATATACAATATCGTTTAAAAACTACATAAGAATAATTATCAAATAAAAGAAAGGGGGAAACGGATTCGTATACATGCATGCAAAACGCGATCGATCTACTACGTACTATACTGATGTTACAAAACGTAAGAACTATGTCAATAATAAATATTACACATAATAAAATATAAAACAATTAAATTACATTAACATTGTCTATTGTTACAGGTAAATAATCGTATGTTTGTACACTTCCAACTGTCATCGATATCGTAAATACTGATACACGAGTAACGAGACACAGTACGAGTGTAAACAGCCTAAAAAATATTCTCTGTACTACAAAAAAAGAAGAAGAACAACACCGTTTGCTATCACAACAAGACAACTTCAATTATGTATCAACTTTTAACGCAACGAAGAAATCAAAATGAATTTCTGAAAGTAAAGAGAACAGCATCATCGATCAATCAACCCGCCATTAATTCGTCATTGTAATTCTACATGTTAAAAGCAAATTATACGAGTGATTGTAAAATTAACAAAATAATTTACGTGTAAAAACTAATCGACTAGCATATTTACAATTACAGATCATGAGAGACGTCGCCTTTACGCCGAGGAGATCTGCTGTTTTATCCAGTCCATGTGTTTCGCGACGTCCACGTAGACGACGTATTGCGATAGGTCGCAGGACATGTTAACTCCCAGCAAAGACCTCGAGACAACGCCACGCAGATAATAACGATTCGTTTTGGAATCGTGAATCACGAAACCGCTTCCACTGTCACCATTGCAAGGGCCAGTTTCGTCCTTCAAGCCAGCGCAAAACGTTCGATTCGAAGTCAGCGAGACAAAGTTCGTGTTGCTCCACAGACAGTCCTCCTGTAATTTATTCGACGAATCGTTATTCAGCAGTTGGAACACTTCAGAGCAGATTCTGTGCAAACATGGATCATTCCCAAACCAAGTCTGTTTAGCTTGGCAAAATCTGAATGGTATTTGAAGGAGATGAAAGTATGTGTGGGGATGTTATAATTGGTGGGAGGTTTTGAGATGAGTACAAATAAAAGGAGGTTTTCAACTGTGGATCTTGGGAATGAAATCAATTGCATAGAGGGAGAGAGTCAGTTACTATGGTACGAAAGGGAACTTGTGTATTATTGTAATTACATTTAGGTTTATGGGATAGTCGAGAAAAATATCAATAGTAATTAGGTAATGAAGTGAAAAACGTATTTTTAAATACAATGTATGTCGCTATTTTCATTTTTGGAAAATTTGTGCAAATGTGAATACAAAAGTGTTCGTACTGTGTACTCAAGTTTGATTGTTAAATGACAAATGTTTAAGAAACTGCAGTAGCGAAATGAAGAAGCACATTAATATTCATCTTGTCGCATATATTACACGCCACAAACGAACCACGAGTTCTTCCTCTTCCGCGATCATGCATATTAATTCTACTCTAAAATCTTTCCTTTAACATAACTTTTCAACTTCATCATTTTCTTCACGTGATATCGCCATTCAAGCGACGAAATGGCAACGAAAGGACCGGTTACAAAACATTAGTCAGCGTGCACATTAATTAAATTTTAACACCTCCGGAGTCCATGGCTCAAAATGTTTTACGTCGATCACGAAAAATAACGTAAAAGTACTATAGTCTCATCATTGAACGAAATAATAAGAATTCTATTGACAACAAAACAATAGTTAAAATCTAGTACATTTTGCAGAAGGTACTAAATTCATCCACAACTGTTTCGAAAATCAATTAATATTTTTGCCGTAATGAAATGGCAAAAAGTTTATGTTAAAAAAATATTTACTTTCATAAATAAAATGGCATAAGAGAAAAATTAGGAAAGATGAGTGTATTTTTGAACATTCTCAGTTTATGTAGTCTCTTAAGCCACACTCGTTAAATCTATAAATAACCGCATGCGTTTGCTTTTCTCAAAAATTTCGCAGATAAAACTGGTTTTACCTGAGAGACGATGGGAGCTGCGGTCTGACGAGGTTCCTCCGTATTCCGATTCCCCGACTCATCACGTCCCCAGCCCACAACGTGTCCAACCTTTCCCACAACGGTACTCAGGCTGTTAGGGCCTGACCAAAGACAAATTGGCTTGATGACTACGTTATACTCCACCCGTTCACGAAGAATTAGCACAGCCAGGTCTGCGTCGGCGTTGCCACTTGCATTATAATCAGGGTGAAGATTGTACCCGGCCACCTCTCGGTTCACTGAACCCTTTTCTCTCCAATTTTTAAGTCGGTAGCGGCCCAAAGAGACGGTCAACGTCCCAGCAGGTAATTTAATATCGCCGTCTTGGAAACAGTGAGCAGCTGAAAATGTATAAAAAGCATCAACATCTGTGAAAGCTTGCAAATGTCAAGTCAAGTTAAGTTCAGAGTCTTTTTCTACCTAGAGTGTCCAATTTTTTACGTTGGATTTCAATAGAAAAGCGAATTCTGAGTATAAAAGTACTAAAGTACATTTATCCTAAAACTTACCATTCCTGAGATATTTGACTTTGTTCATCCTATTATTCTCATTATGAAGCTACTGTGCTCATAGGTACCAATACTTCAGATGTGAACAAATAATGCACAGTAAATATCATGAAATAGCATAGTTGAACTTTCGACGTCCCTCGGTATTAGTAAGTTTCTCATTTCTTAAACATAAGATAGTCAATATGAAATTTTCATGTGAAGAACAAGTAGATACGCTTCTAATTTATGGAGTGTAAGAAAAATTCAATTAAGGCACAAAATCGAAAGTCCAACAATGCTATTTCATAATATTTACTATCCATTATTTGTTTACATCTTAAGTACTGACACCTATGAGCATAGAAGCTTCATAATGAGAATAATAGGATGAACAAAGTCAAATATCTCAGGAATGTTAAGTTCTAGGACAAACGCATCTTAATACTTTTATTCTCAGAATTCGCTGTTCTGTCGAAATCCTATTAAAAAAAGAAAATTGACCTCTAGATTTTCTCCATGCCTCCACTTGTAAGAAACTATTGATGCTGTATTATATATTTATTTATATCCTACAACTTTTATAAGTAACATTTTCATCTATTATTTAAAATAACGATGCTATTCCAGGTGGACAAAGTTGATGGGACACCCTGTATATGTATGTATATATAGATAATAGTCCGTTGAGGTTATGTCATGAAACAAATAAACGCGGGAAAAGATATTCGGTACATTTTACAATAGAATAATTCACAGAACTGGAATATAAAAAACGCGAAAATTCTAGTTTTTATTTATATTCGGTAGTGCGTATTTCGGAACGTATATCAAGTATACAAAATTTCGGAGAAATCTCATAAATCTTCAGTATAATCTGATCTTCGATGACCAGCTGGTTAAATCCATGAATTATAGGCTATTACTTGGCAAATTATTTTGTTTCTTCGTTTTTACGCATCATTATATTTGAACCGAAAAAAGCGATGTAAGGCAAATCTGTTAAGTCATCGAATCGATAATTCATCGTGCAAGAAGTATGCTTCCTGATTGTAGAATGGTGTGCTACATACAGAAGTAGTACGATCGTTGTATACGGTGAGTAAAATTTTTGGCGCATTCAAGATCGTTGTACTTCTCTCTCCCCACTACAAATTTACTGGGATTCCCCACAATTTATCACACGTAAGGGAAATATATTTACGACATATAATTACTTTTACATTTTTTTCTATCCTCCTCGAATATAACACATAAAGATAAAAAAATAACTTTCACTGGTACATATAATTTTGTAGCAAATACTTTTAACAAATCTCCACCAATCCAAACGTATATGTAGATTCGCCTATAAAAACCATGTCTATCATTATAATTTATAACCTATACACTTTACATTTGACCTTTTCTTCTCGAAAGTATTAGATAAGAAAAATACGTACAAAAATTACAAAGTTGTTGAAAGAGAAACCTAGGAAAGTATGAACTTGACCTTGAAATCTCGAAGAAGGCTACTTTTCGTTGCATAAAAAAATTAGGAAGTTTATTTACCGGTAATAACGTGTATGTTCGACACCAGTGTTCCAGCGCATTGATACTCGAAATTTTTCTTGACGATGAAAATTGCAGCCAGCCAGGGCCATTGACCATGCGACGTTTTTTCACCTCGGACAACCAGAAGATTGATCTTGCTTGTGGCGGTGGGGCGGCCACACGTTTGATTATCTTGCTCATTGTTGGTCCGTGGCCTTTGTGTAGGAATTGGTATTGTTACAGGTGGGAAATTTGGGTAGATCGGATCTTGAGATTTCGTTGGTTGTGGTCGTTGTGGCGGTAAATTCTCTACCGTGGGGTAGTTTGCAATCGTGTTCACTTCGGTCTCTAAACCAGGCAACGCACCAGGTGGATATAGCGTATGATTTAGAACGATGGAGGTGACGATCGGTCCATTTGCTAAAATTACATAATTATTCGATAATAATTTACTCGTCCAATGATAAACAAAGAAAAAAATGTATTAATCGTATTCAAAATTTTTGAGGTTATATTTTTTGTTATTTTGAAAGTGTTGCGTTTCAAATGAATCAATTGAATTACAAAGTGCAAAGAAATAGTCAGCATGAAGCAACAGTTCAGTAATAGATTCATTAGTAACATTAACTTCGATAAGATTAAATTAAAAATCAAGTTAAGAACTTTAAAGGAAATGAAATGAAATTTCGAGAAAAGTACGTGAATATGTACACAGGGTGAGCAAAGTAAAACAGACCACCTAATCATCTTCTCTAGTTACGACGGTACGAGAAATTTTTTACACGTAATTTAAATTGTTTCGAAGGGTGAAAGATGAAAGAAAGTTCCACGTTTGATTAACAATTTTAGAATCCAAGGTCGTTTTAAGATCGTATTAAATGCCTACAATACACGGTAGAAAGAAATACATACATTAATATAAAAAAAACATTGGTGACTTAGAAAAAAAGAAATGGCATTTGTAAAAGAATGTTTCCTCCATCTTATTCTCCCTTTGAAACCATGTACCATCATAGCCAAAGAAGATAATTAGCTGGCCGGTTTGTATTGGAAAATGGCGGCAATGTATTTGTCGAAACGAAGTTCGCAAATGACTAATTGTGGAACGATGACAAGGTCTTCGACCATTTCTATTTTTACAAATAATCAAACAACAAGTCTTTTGTTTTTTTTTTTTTTTTTAACAAAGCGTACTACATACCGCGTGGACCAGAACAGATGAGTTGATTGTTGAACCACAAACCGGTTAGGATGGCCACGGGTCGTGGAAGAGGAAAATGTATTTTGTATTTGAGGGACCTGCCCTGGTTCACCGCTTTAACAGACTGGTCTCTCGACTGTGCCAATTCTAACCGACCAACATATTTCTGAAACACGAATCGATCAATTGCATCCATTTATTATAATCCTGCTTCTTTTTTTTTTTTTCTTTACTCCTTCATCTCTTATTGTCATCCAAATTGAACAACAAGAAACGAATTGTAAATTGAAAGATATCTTGTTTTGTCTCAGAACTATATATAGAAACTGCGTATTCCCAAGGAACATTAGTTATGTAATACTGTATTACTGCAACGGTTGCATTTGGAATTTTTTCAAATTCGTATAGCAAGATAACTTTGAACGTACGATTTATAAATGCAATTCTGCATATTTAGAATGGAAAATTTCATTTGTTTAAGTTACACACTTTTTTCAGTAGTTTAATATTATTCTTTAAATACTGTGTCAGCACAGCAAAAGCTTTCCAATCGTGAATTCGTTGAAGAAACATCTTACTCAATCCTCCAATTATACGCAATACTTAAACGTGATATTTCGAAGAAAAGCAAGTAATGCTTGAATTAACAGGAAAGAAGACGCTTCTATTAATTTTTCAGCATTCACGAAACAACGTGTCCGATTCTTTCGATCCAAAGTTAAAGAATCCTCGAGGAAAGATTATTGTATCATATGGACCTAACGAGACTGAAAATCATTTTTATGAATTAGAAGGATTTATTTACCGAGGGCAATGCAACAGCGACGCTCAAACCTACGCTAAGGTGCAAAGATATGCCCTTTGGCGGCGATGGTATCTCGACGAAACCAATCACATTGTTCGTTTCCTCGTCTTGAACGTACCGGAAGTAATTTGGACACGGAGTCTGCTGACCGGCTACGTTGCTGATTAACTTGAGTAAGTACACCAGAAGCGCAGCCTTGACAATGACACCGACCATCCTGGAACTCTGTAAAATATCGGAAAAAATTTCTAATTAAATTACAAACACAACCAACTTTTTAACTTAATTACAAATTAATTTAGTTCGAGTCGATACAGATCGTTGAATATAAGTGTCAAATTAAATTTAAATCGTGTAGTCTGAATAAAGTTAAGTTAGATCTAATTATCTGATTAGAATAATTCTACCTAATTATTCGATCAGACTAATTTTATTTCAAATTAACGTTTTTAGAAAATAGGAAGGTTAAGTCTCTGGAGATTAGAGAATACAACGGAATGAGTGTGTCTGCTTGATTATAAACTGGTAAAAATAAGGAGGCAAGGAGTCTCAAGGAGACTTTCGTGATGGAGAATAGACGACGGAACTACCTGTTCAGTGGAGACAAATGTAACACAACCAGTCGGCCAGTTTTTGTTCCAGTTTATTCTTACGGAACTAACGTGCTTCTGGACCGGCGTTAAAGAAACCAGGAGGAAAATGTAGGATGTTGCAGGAAAAATGCGACGATGTTTACCTCAGCATGCGATAACCTCTGTCGAAGAGCGAAAGTCGATGATCCACGTGCAGTTATCGCGTTCCAAGGAAATTCGGCATTTCCCCCGTTAATCGCGATATATATATTTTTCTCTCTCTCTCTCTCTCTCTCCCTTCGCCGTTTTACCACTACTTTCTTCAACTTCCTCCTGATAACGTCCCGCCAAAAGAGACAGTCGATCAATTCCACCTCACTACGTTCAATTTAATCACACTCGACGTACGCTTCGTCGGCGTTTCCATTATCGCGCTTACTCGCGTATTTCTTAATCATACACTTTTCATTTAGAATTTTAATAACCCAGCCACTGTCACAACTGTGTCCACGTGCTCCTAGCACGAGCTTCTATACCACCTTCCAAATAACTTCACAAATTGCCGAATTTTCCAAATTGAAGAAAAAATCGTCACAATCACGTGACCTCTTACAAATATCTCGTAACGACGGCCCCAGGAATGTTTACTTTGGCATCTGAATCGTCGTTCTCACAGATCACTCGTGTCTTCGAGATCTCGCGAAAATCGAAAAAAAATGTGTATGGGATATATTCACTAAACGGGTGGTCCTTAAGTGTCGTTCGGTCGTTATTTACGCACCATCTTGCGATGAAATTGTCCCCCGGTGTGTCGATCGCCTACCGCCGAGACCTGTCCAAAATTCTTCAGGTTCGAGGATGTGTCGCGGCACTTTATATCGACAGGCTTTACCGGCGCGAAATCAACGCTCGAATACGGAGGAGCAGGCTTGTCGGTCCAGCTTTTTAACCGCGATCTCAGCCGACCAATGACACGTAGAAAATCTACCCGGAGTCTCTCTGAACGAGTCCGCCTCTCGGAACATCGCCGCGGTTCTCGGGTGTACCGCGAATAGTAGTGGGGCATCCCCGATAATACCACCACTTATCCGCTTCATTCGTATGGAGAAACCACTGTCCAGCGTTGAAGATGAACAAAAGGATAAGAAGAAGCGACTTGACGTGACGCTCTGAATCCAATGACTCACGACGGTCACGGAAGTTGCGCTACTCTGGTGCAACGAGTATAATGCCGCGTGTAACTGGAATTACGTTAGAGGGAAAACGAACGAACGATGTACGCTTGTTATCTTTATCGAAGTAATCGAGTTCATTTTATCAGCCGTAATACGAAAAATAAGGGTAATTCCGGGAGAAACGGACCAGGTAAGTATTTCCTACATTATCCGCCATATGTGGGACGCGTCAGTATTCTTTTGTTTTACATTTGTTTTACTCTCAGTGTTTTTGGTTCCATATCCAGCGGATAATGTAGGAAATACTTGCCCGGTCCGTCTCTCCCGAAATTACCCTATGTTTCTCGTTTTCGCGTAGAAATACAGGTAAGAAGTAACCAACGGTATTCGATTGCACTACCTTTGGCTGTAATTACCGCCTTCGTTCTTTTTTCGATACGTTGGAAATAATTTACTATGCGTTATAAGTAAGCAGGGCGAACAGCAAGAAAAGTTAAAATGCTCGAGATCTATAAATCATCGTAACTGTAGTACGTGGTTCTCAAGTGGCGATTTGCAGTACCGATACATACGATAGATGTTCATATAAAAAAATAATAAGAAATCGGTATAACTATAACTAGGTTGCAATGTGAAACCGTCAATTTCTTACTGGTTGCTCTAATAATTTGATCACCCTCTGTAGCGTGCTTGTAAGTACATATCAGGTTTGTTGCATGTGAAATGGCCGATCTGAGAAACTACCCCCAGGCAGCACATAGTAACTCATTGCAGGTACAACAATTTTCTCTAGTTAAAAAGAAAAGGGGGGTACAGCAATTCGAAGCTCGAAGTTAGTCCATATTTGTTAATTGTTTTATTGTCAAATGGCAGATTGTGTGAGAAAGTTAACCATAGATCGAGACCAAATTCCACTGATCACTTTTTAGTTGGGCAAAATTTATTTTAAATCATACATTTTAAATTATTCTTTTTTTAAGTTTGATCTTATTCACACTTTGAAACTATTTAAATTACTTTTAAAAATCTTCTCGTACCACCGTAGCTGGAGAAGATAGTTTAGGTGGTCTGTTTTACGGTTTTTTACGGTCTGTATCATAAGAATAAGCGTTTTGCAGGGTTTTGTATGAATATAAAGGATAGTGATATATTTAACAAAATTGTGTTAGAATATTTACTTAGAGAAAAATCTTGCATCGTACGAAGGGTATATACAAAGGGTGGTCAGAAATAAATTAAGCGTTTTGAAAAAAGTGTGTATAAAATATAAAGGATAATAAAATACCTAAGATATTTTAAGAGAACCAATTTTTTTTTTAATTTCTGTGCATTTGAACGTAAATACCAATGTAAATACATTCTAAGTTCTCCATCTCTACCTAACCGCTTCTCAAATTTAAAAAAAAATTTATTCCAACTAATAATTATTTAATTATTTATTCCAATTAATAATTTAACTAATAATTCTCTGAATAAACTGATTTCATTTCATTTCGTACATTTTGAAGTGCCGCTCCAAATGATTTGCCATTACTGTCCACCATTTTGTATATTTTCGTATTCAAAAAAAACCCACAAATATTCTATTCATTTTTACGATCAGGTCAGTTTATTGCTAGAATCGTAAAACGATTTAGCCCTTTGATTTATCGAGATTTACCGTTCAACCCTAATTAACCCTTTCTGACAACGATACTTGCTTCGCCCATTTATGTTATTCCAGAACTTACATCGGTTAAAATTTTCAAAATTTAGAACGAAATATTTAAATAGATACAGTGGATTCCGGTTAATTGGGACACATTGGGACCGGACTAATTTGTCCCAAAAAAGCGAATTTCAACAGGCAAAATCTGAACAGCGTAAAGAAGCCAAAAAAGATTTATTGAAAAACGTATGTAATATTCGGTCTTGAATACAAATGTGTGTTTAAGCATGCAAAGCAAGCTAACAGTAAGTAATAAAATAACATTAATAAGTAAATAAACACGTATATTAACCGGGATCCACTGTCTGAATAACGTGAATGAAATATGCAAATAAAATTTCATTGAATTTTCTGATCGACGTAGGAATACAATACTACTCGTTACAATAGTTTATTCTCGTAAATTGACTCATCTGTTAATTTTTACTACACGTTACCTCTGTGCTTGTACGTTTGTTTCATAACTGTCCACCCGAACTACATATATTGACAATAATTTCATATTGCGGTACGGGGTTTCCCCCGTTAATAATGGCAATTTTGCGTAGTTGAAAGTTACGTCGATTTATTATTAGCTTGATTTCATTTTCTGGAGTTGTTGTGTTCTCTTTCGTTCACGTTTCTTTCTGCTCATGAATATATTCATAGCGATACAAGTTGCTTCCAGTGGCTGTGTTTGCATTCGACGAATTTGTTTGCAATCGGTTTACTTTACTCTTCAACTCGGTTACCTTGTTTCTCGCCAAATCTGACACGTGTACTTAAAAAGAAACATTTTTTTTTATTTTTTCTGTGAAGAAAGCAACGGCTGATTGGATTTATTTATCTTATTTAGACCGAGCTACGATCTTTCGTTCGTTGAGAGTGAAACGTTTAACGTACCTGAACTGAATTTCTTAGAACTTCTTAGAAATTGCATTCGAAATAAATAACTGTCCACGTTGTT